CAAGAGTGTCCAGCAAGAGTGTCAAGCAAGAGTGTCAAGAACAAGTGGCAAGAAAGATTGTCTAGGAAAGAGTGCAAGAAAGAGTTTCAATCAAGACTGTTTAGCAAGAGAAAGTCTCGTGCAAAATGCTCGTTTTTGGAAGCTTTGACTGTCGCTTCTGGTGAAAGTCTCGTGAAAAGCGCTTGTGTTCAACAGTGTCAAGCAAGAGTGTCCAGCAAGAGTGTCAAGCAAAAATGTCAAGCAAGAATGTCCTGTAAAAGTATCCAGCAAAAGTGTCAAGCAAGAGTGTCAAGCAAGAGTGCCCAGCAAGAGTGTCAAGAGAAAGTGTCTAGAAAGAGTGCCCAGCAAAGTGTGTCAAGAAAGAGTGTCTAGACGGCTGGGGAGGTGCTGGCGACCTGCACATTCCAATGTATTTTGCCAGCTATATCTGTCTAGCTATCTAGCACCTGCCACGAAATCTGCACTTCAAGGTCCACAAAGTGCTGTGCCTGCCACGAAACAAGAAAAACAAAACAAATTCCCAAACAAGAACAAGAAAAAACCCTAAATTAAATACAAGCCCTTTGCAAAGTTCGGGCCCCGAAGGTCGGGCCCCGAACTGAGCACTTCTATTGCTACTACCACCGCACTACTACCGCTACTACTACTACTACTACCACCACTACCCCTACCACTACCACTACCACTACCACTACTACTACTACTACCACTACTACTACTACCACTACCACTACCACTACCACTACCACTACTACTACTACTACCACCACCACCACCACCACTACTACTACTATTACTACTACTACTACTACTACTACCTTTACTACTTTTACTACTGAAAGGATCTGACTTGTATTGTTAGTTGGGCACAGGTCTCCTGATGAAATTATTCGCTTCGGACAAAACTTTGTTGTCCGAAGCGAATAATTAACAAGTAAAACTTGGCGCTGAAGGACTTGTGCTATGGGCTGAAATACACAACGAGGGTGATGTCGACATGGCTGTTTTGAAATGTCACGGTGGGGATCACTCGAAGTAGGGTAATTTTTTTGTTATTGTTTTACTTGCAATATCAGATATGGAGGGCGGGCTGCCACTTGAAAATGCAACCTAAGTTTATTATGGAAAACCACCACACAGGCCCCACGGGTGCCCGCTCTCAACAAGGTACAGTAAGGTACAGCGATAGTGGAAAAGATGGTAATAGTAAGGGTAATAAGGGTCCGGTTGGATTTTGGCCTCATTAGCTGGCTTCTTCAAGCCAGCTTGCCCTCGTAGGCGTGAGCCAGATCGGTTGGCAGGAAATTGCGGCGGCGCTGTTGTTTTGTTATCGCATTCCACGCTTTTCTCCAGCAGCAAGACCTGCTGATTGCATGGACAGTGCAGGCATAGTTACCCTGCATGGTCCTTGGGAACCTTGTTGGGGGAGGTCGAAGGACCTTCTCATGTTGCTTGACTCCTTGCTTGTCCCCATGGAAAAGCGGAGGGCCTCCACAAGATCACAGTACCCCAAGTGAAGTTGAGCCTTTGGTGCCTTTCACATTGTTGAAGTCGGTTGGGGTCCAGGACATGGGCCAAAAGATAAAGATTGGCTGGACACTCAAGCTAGTTGCCATTCCAAGAGGAAATTTGTGTTTCCCAAAGAAAAATCAAAGCGCCAGGGAGCAGAGAACTCCCAGGTCCAGTCCAACTAGTCAAGTCACCAAGCTCAGAGGCAAAAGTGAGGATGCAGTAGACATGGGGTGTGCCCAAAGTCCCGCGCCACAGAAAGAAAGCCAAGCGGAGTTCCCCTTTAAAATGTGATCTTGACGATGTAGCAAGGTCCCAGAGCAAACCAATGTAGCGGGGAGTAGCGAAGTTGGGCTTTATGAGGTCAAGGAGAACAAGGATCCAACTGATCCAACGCAACGCTAAGACACACGCGCCCAGAACGCAGCACACCTTCTCACGATCACGAAGATTAATTGGCGCCAAGCTGTCGTGGAGTTGTTTCCATGGGATCTGCATGGAAAAAAGGCGGCCCGTTGGGCTCCTCGCACGCCCAAAGGGACTTGATCAAGAATGTCACCAAGATTATCGAGAAGAGAATTGAGCGCATGGCGCCCAGGAGAGTCCACTAAATTTGCCAAGCACATCATTTTACATGACCGGTCAAAACCTGGCTTTGTGACAAACTTGCTGGCTGCAGCGCGACGTGGTTCCGTCGGGGTTTGGCCTTCAGCCAGGTGGGCAGATCCTTATCTCATGTGTGGAGAATTGGCAGGCGGATGTTTGGAGCTTAGCCCGCTTTGATGCAACCCGTTGTTTTTGTTTCAGCCTGCGTTTTCGGCGTTGGCGACGCTGCTGCTTCACTTAGTCAAGTTTCCAGACATTTACTGGTACTGTTTGGAACTTATTTGCTTGAACAAAAAGCAACTCAGGCGTGCCAAGGTCCCGCTTCAAGCACCCCTGTAGCTTTTGGGGGCTGTTACCTTAACATAAGTGTATGTAGATGTGCGCAACCGAACTGCAGTATTACATTTTGCTGTTGGATTTGTTGAGCCAGTGTGACTTAGACGAACGCAGGTGCGTAATATGACGTGATTCATTTGCTAGTTTTCTTGGTCCACATGGACCTTGGAATGTACAGACCCTCCACGCCGGCCCTCGCACTCCTTTTTAATGCCTACAACTGGTTCGAGCTGAGGTGTTGACATACTATTTCCAGGTGGCCTCTTGTTTTTAGAGCACGGGGAGGGACAGGACATGCTTGCGGGAAAAGGCACCTTTGAGTTGGTTCCTTCCGAATTTCTTCAAATGATGTATGCCGTCGCTGTAGATGCAGGATTTTCTTGCCGAACCCCCGATTCTCCGAGGACAATACATACACTTGTGAAGCTCTTCACGGCTTGTGCTTGGGGCCGATCAAAGAGAAGATTCTGAAAATGCTACCAGACTTTGAAAATTGTTTAGTGAGTAAACATGTGTTGGATGGTTTTGGCGTTGCAGGTGGCACTTGCCGTACTGTAACACAGAAAAGGACAAATTGTTACAGCACTCAGAGTGTGTTGTTGGTGACAGTCTTTTGTTGGCTACTACTACTCCCTTCAGCAGATATAATATATCATATAATACTATACAATATGTCATAGCTGAAGAAATTGGCAGATGTTCATCCTTTGCATATTTGTCGGAGGGAGGGCAGATGTGGACAAATAACGCCAGTGTGACATTTCCCTTCAAAAGAGAAGATAGGGGGTTCGCGCGCCAATGCATTGTAGGTAAAGGCTTGCTTTTAGCGCGGAATGCTGAAGATTTTGCAAGTCCTTTGGTCGCTGACTTGAATGGAATTTTAGCGCACTAACTTGCATTGCGAGCTTATCGCGGCCCGCTATTTCTCGATGAGCCAGCCGGCCGGCCGGCCAGCCAAGAACCACGGCGTCGGCCGGCCGGCCAGCCAAAAACCACAGCGTCGGCTACCACCACCACCACCACCACCACTACTACGACGACGACGACTACTACTACTACTACTTCTCGACTACTACTACTACTACTACTACTTCTCGACTACCACTACTGCTACTGCTACTGCTACCGCTACTGCTACTGCTACTGCCACTACTACTACTACTACTACTACTACCACTACTCCTACATCAGCCGGCCGGCTGATCAACAACCGCGTCGGCCGGCCGGGCCGGCTGACCCACAAACGCATCGGCTGGCCGGCCGGCAGGCTGATCAAAGACCTACTACTACTACTTCTTCTACTACTACCACTACTACTACTACTACTACTACTACGACTGCTGCGTCGGCCGGCCGGCCGGCTGATCCACGAACGCATCGGCTGGCCGGCCGGCAGGCTGACCTACTACGTTACTACTACTACTACTACTACTACTACTTTTACTTCTACTACTATGACGACTACTACTACTACTACTACTACGACTACGACTACGACTACTACTACGACTACCACTACGACTACTGCTACTACATCGGCCGGCCGGCCGGCTGGCCGGCTGATCAACGACCGCGTGCGTCCGCCGGCCGGCTGATCAACGACTGCGTCGGCCGGCCGGCCGCGGAAGAAACCACCAACACCACCACCACCACCACCACGACTACTACTACTACTACTACTAGTACTAGTACTAGTACTACTACTACTACTACTGCTGCTGCTACTACTACCACCACCACTACTACTACTACCACCACCACTACTACCACCACTACTACCACTACTACTACTACGACTACGACTACGACTACTACTGCTACTACTACTACTACTACGACGACGACGACGACTACTACTACTACTATCTACTACGACGACGACGACGACGACTACTACTACTACTTGGCCGGCCGGCCGCCGGCAAAATAGCAGGCCGGGTTGCCCGCGCTGTCCAAACTTGACAGCTACTGGGAACAAGTCTCGTGAGCAAGGCTTTTACCGGGAGCGTGCACATCAGGGGTCAGGGGTGCCACCTTTTCGATGCTGTGCGAGGGGGGACAGGTGCGGCCACGGTTGCATAGCTGTGTGGTCGCCGGTGTTTGGCGGGGAGGCTTCCTGAAGCGCTTAGTTTTTCGCTTAGCCTAAGTTCGGCACTGAGTTGACGCAGTGCAGTTACAGTAGCTAACCTTCAAGCAAGTGGCAGGAACAACTTGGCGAGACAGGGCAGACAGGTATATACCTGCTTCTGTATCGCTTGCTTGAGGGTCAGCTGATGTCACCGGTGATAGACATTTCATCGTTGCGTCGCCAGCAAACGTCCAAAGGGCCAAATACACATTTCACAATCATTCCACCGGTTGTTGTACTTCACTGAGCTAACGTAAATCCACACATCACATTGCCATTTGAAACCCCGCCGTCCAGCTTTGGTGGAAAGTACTCCTGAATAATTATGTTGGACTCTGGACGGGAAATCTCCTATGTTGAGGCTCGCAGGCAAAAAGATCCGCATTCTTTGTGGCTCCAAGCAGTTGAACGAAGGCTCGCGGGTGGCTGGGCACTTCTTCTCAGTGCTTCGACATTTGCTATTTTTCATGAAGACAACCATAGTACTGAATTTATCTTTAAACATTAATCAGCCGAGCACAACTGCTGTTGCTGTGGCATTTTGCCCCGGATCTTCATAGCGTTGAAGCAGAAACCCTACTTCAGAACATTCCATCAGGGCCGTTCCAAACGCTAGTTGAGGGTGGCCTCCTTCATTGCATGTGACAGGCCTTGACTTGCCTGGGGTGGCCACGGTCATAGTTTGCGACGCGGATTCAGCCGGTTTTTTGCGAACTGTCACTCAGCTGCAATGCTATTTGGTGTATCAAGTCACGAAAGGTTGCCTCAGGCAACCTGAGTTCAAATAGTTTTGGCTTAGGATGAGGATCCTCCTCAATGACCCCAAATCAAAACAAAAAGAAAACCATCCTCGCGTGGGACTGGGTTGTTCATCATTGGGTTAAGCATCGCAAAGGGGCAGAAACAGAGATTTGTGACAGCGGGCCATACAACAAAGCAGGTTTGGAAAAAACATATGTCAATGGAAGATCGTCGATGGCTGCAAATATATAGATGCCATAGCAGGGTGTCAGCTGCTAAGTGGTCTATCCACACGGATGCTACCTGTCCAAATTGTACTGAACAAGGCACCAGAGAACACAACATTCGGGAAGAGCATGGTGTCGCAGTTAAACCGGATCCCAAGACATCACCATGACTTGGACTAGCACGCACTAAAGGACACCTACCAGCCGCACCGGATTTTGTTAACTTCAAATCTGAAATTCCTTTGTGGATGGATCATGCTCCCAGGCCACTGAACCTCATACAAAAAGAGGAGCTTGTGCAGCGATCCCTTTATGTACTTTGAAAAACCTTTGGCCAAGAACCTCGCAGTGACGCGATCGCTACTATAGCAACTGCACACGTAAGGGGACCTCAAAGAAAATCACGAGCAGAGCTTTGGGCAGATACTTGAGTAGCCGTGATGCTTGCTGCACATATTCCAACTGCTGTCATTCACACGTAATTACTTTGCAAGGCCAATATGTTTGTAATCGTATTCTTTTTATTGAGTTGGTATCCATTGAGTTGGGTGTTCTACCCCATGCAGACCAAATCTACACACATGCAGATTTGATCGATCAACTTATCCAAGCTTGGAGACCAGGAAAGCTAGTTAATTAATTATCCATTAAGTTGAGCCATGCCGACCACCCAATGATGCTATATCAATCTACGATCTCACCCTGATTGAGGAAATACAATAACTCTGCCGATAGAGCAGCTGTTGTAGCAAGACGGCAGGACCGTGCTAAGTTTGATAATCTCATCACTAGCATGTAGACACATCGCCAACAAGCGCAGAAGAATATTCTCAAGGATTCGAAGTATCTCATTGGTTATGCCAGTAT